TGAGAAGAATATTGAAAATTTTAGATCTAAGTATTTTTATGACTTTTCTTCTCCGTGTGGATAAAGAGTATTTGATTTCTGTCTTCTTTTCTTATCAAATTATAGTGGAAAAAATGGTATCAGTCTCTGAGAAACCAAATTTTCTTTTTCTTCCAGCCATATCATTTTATGATTCATCGTTAAATTTACAACAATTGTATTAGACTATATTATTAACATTTAAATAAATACTTTAAGGGGAAGGTCATATGGTCAACCAAGGCTTAGAACTGGTTAAGAAAAATTACTGAAAAACATAGTTCAACTGTATTTTAAAAGTTATTCTAATGGATAAAGCAATAAACAAAATGTGGTATATCTATACAATGAATTACTCTTCAGCGTTAAAAAGGAATGAAGCAGGGCAGCCCGGGGGGCCCAGCGGTTTAGCGCTGCCTTTGGCCCAAGGTATGGTCCTAAAGACCCGATATCGAGTCCATGTCAGGCTCCCTGCATGGAGCCTGCTTCTCCCTCTGCCTGTGTCTGTGCGCCTATCTCTCTCTCTCTCTCTCTCTCTCTCTCTCTCTCTCTGTCTCTGATGAATAAATAAAATCTTTACAAAATTAAAAAAAAATTTTAAAAGGAATGAAGAAAAAAAAAAAGAAATAAAGCATCAACACATGCTATAGGGTGGGTGAGCCCTGAAAATATTATACTAAGTGAAAGAACCAGAAACAAAAGGCCACATGGTTTATTATTTATATAAAATATTCAGATAAGTAAATCCATTCTGGATATGGGAGACTCCGTTAGGAATAATAGCTTTTTGGAACTAAAAGGTGACATGGCATTGTGAATGCCAATGAATGATATGCTTTAAAATAATTTTATATTATGTGAATTTTACCTCAATTTTAAAAAGTTAATCTAGTCAGTCTAAACACTGAATTATTACATATAGGTGACAGAAATTGGGAATAGATGGTCTCTGTACAACACTCAACTGTGCAAATAAAAATCACTAGCTCATGAACAGAAAATCATTAACTATCCTATTTAAGTACACATTAAAACTTTATACATGATGCTTGAAAGGTCATCTGTTCACTGCATGAACAATAATGAAAATGTTCTATCCTGTGCTAGACATAAAATATTTGCAACATTTTTCAAAAATTATATAAAATGTTAAGTGACAATGGCAGTTCACATAACTGTACTGAACAATATGCAAGCGTTCTCTTTTCTCTACCAATTAAATATTCATAAATTATTGCCAAATGCCATGTTGCAGAATGATAAGATTTAACCCAAATTTTGGAATCTGGTTTGAATTACTAGGATTAGCAAACTAAGCAGTCAAATAAACTATTAAGTACATCAACCAAATAATACACTTTCCTGTTGTTTTTGGAAAGAAACACTTTATTAAATTTCCAAAGAGAAAAACATTCATACAAAAGATTTTAACCACTGCTTTGAAAACACACGTTTTAACCCATAATTGAAGATTTTTCAGTATGTTTGGTTCAAGATTATTTTCTAGCAAGACAATCAAAAGATTCCAATCAGAAGAAACACTTTAAAGTTATTTTTTCAATAATTTAAATAGATTTACAAACTAAAATCTTGTCCATAATTACGAGAGTTGCCTACTTTACTCAGTAGGCAATAAATGTACCATATGTAATACAGAATGTAGGTGACAATTCAGAGTTCATACCTAAATGACATCATAAGTTAAGCATAATAGAATATGTACTAACTTTAATAAAATTAAATGAGTACTAATATTATATGCAAATAGTAATGAAGAAGACACTAGACCTGCACTGTCCAATAGAGTAGCCATTAACCACATATATCTATCTAAATTTAAAGTAATTAGAATTGCATATTAAAGACTCATTTCTTCAATTGCACAAATTATTTTTCAAGTCTTCAATAGCCACAGAAGAAGGTCTAGCAGCTACCATATTGAACAGATTTCTATCAATACAGAAAATAGTACTTTTTGACTTGTTAATCATACAATTGCCCATGAAACTTAAGCTTCAGGGCACCTTGCTTGAATAGACCCTTTCAGGGACCTGGGAGGAGGCTTAGCAACGTGTTCTCATGATGATGCATTTTCATACACGATGCAAAATTTTAAGATGCTTTAGTCATAAAAAAATTCTTTCTCTTGCCCCTCCAACTTACACTTCACCACCCTTGCACTTGAATGCACATTGAATGGCATGAGTGGGTAGACTGGGATTCCAGCAAAAGGAAAGGTGAGTTAGAGATATATTCAGTTTCGGTTTAGTGGGACATATGCATGTGGGTCTCAGTCATTTTCTCATGTAATAAATTACTGTCATATTGCAGGATGGCTTCTGGGAATATACCTTTTTCCTACAACTTCACCTCTCCTAGAGTCATGAAATGAAGATGCAAAATCGGATATCAGAGGCGACATGAACGTGTCTCATGGCAACTAGAATCACAGGATATATAAGTAGAGGAGAAACAGTCTGAAATGTACGCAGCTAGAAACGAATCGTTGGGAAATTTTTCCAATCATGAGATATGAAACAGTATAAGCAAATAATTTCCATTTTTAATCAATACCTGACCAAATTTCTATTATGAATATAGTTGATAATATATTTAATTATAAATACACCATATTTTTTTTCTTATTGATAGGACTCATGAAATGGAACTTCTCTGAAATTGTACAGCACAAATTTGTAACACTTCTACAAATACTGGGTGTGTCTGTAAGTGAAACTGCATGTTTCTTATACTTCAACTATCAATAAAAACAAAAGTTTAGGGGCACCTGGGTAGCTCAGTGGTTGAGTGTCTGCCTTCAGCTCAGGTCATGATCCCAGGGTCCTGGGATCAAGTTCTGCATCAGATTCCCCAGAGGGAGCCTGCTTCTCCTTCTGCTTATGTCTCTGCCTCTCTCTCTCTCTCTCTCTCTCATGAATAAATAAATTAAATGTTTTAAAAAAATTATTAGCCAAGTTAGAGCAAAGATTTATCTTTGGAGTTTCTTTATAGAAAATCGTATTATAAAAGCATTGTGATAGAAGCAAACACTAAACAACCTATACTTGTAGAAAAAATAATTTAAAACTACAATCAACAGTTTTAAAATGTCATTTTCTAAATATTGTGGTGATTATGTCATTGGCCTCTTTTGCAATCTGTAATCTGTTCTTTTTTCATTCTAAAAAAATGTTGACTTTTGTACATAAACTTGTATTTGTAATTTTGTACTTCTTTCTTAAAAGGGAATCCCCCCCAAAGATCTGTTTCGGTCCCCAACAAAACCTTGATCTGCTCCTGGTGCTAGGAAATTATGTCTTGATTAAAATATATACTTACTAATTAGCAATATCCTCATTTTTGTTTATTCATTCTACATTTGTTACAACATTTAATAACCCAGTCACATCACTATCATTAAATCCCAGAATTTGAAGTGGTTAATTTGAAATATATGCCTTCTACTCTCACTGAAGCTTATCTGATATCTCTTCAACCTTCAGTACAAAAAAAGTTCACACCTCACTAGCACAGATACAAATGTCAGTCCTGGTAATTGAGTTACACTGGATGCCTTTGAGCTTTGTACTATACTGCTGCTAATGGCAGTTAAGTTCTTAGTACAATTACAGTTATAGTTATTCAAATGACCAAGGCTTTTTTTTTTAAGTAAACAATATATTGAAACTAAATGCTAATCTAACAACAACAATTCATTTAAGTAAGACAAAAAGTTTAGTCTTTTAATTATATTTAGAAAACGTTCTATCAACATTTTAAACCAACTTTATGTATTATGAAAATGTAGTATAAAAATGCCCAATAGGTAATACCATTCATGCAAATATTCCCTAAGTTACATTTTATTTTTTATTTCATACCCTTTACACTTCATTAAGCCATACTTCAGATAACCTAATTTCTCATTATTGTATTGCAAAGATATTCTCAACCTGAAATTACATCAAATAAATTGTAAATCAGATTTCTGAAAGTCATAACCATAGGTGGAAATCAAATGAAATGCTTAATTTCACATAAATGGCTAAAGCTTTAAATGGATTGCATTTATTTAATTGCTTAGGCACACTTATTCAGAAGTGTTTTTGTTGCTGTCTCCTCCTATAGCTGTAGGATGTTATTCTAATATGTAAACAATACTTTGACAGTTAAGACAAAAAAATTTCAATCATCTAAAAAAAATTAGAGGCTATGTGAAAAAATTAACTGAAATTAGACTTGGAAAACATGTATTCTCTCTGACTAACCCTGCTTGATAAAAAAGAAAGAACTGAAATAATATTAGAAGTAAAGAGACAACCTGTCACCCTTACTCAAGAAAAATGGTTTTATTCAGAGACAGAAGGTGGAATGGTGGTTGCCAGGGGTTTGGGGCCGGGGAGGGGGCGGGCAAGGTTTGGAATAAGCGGTTACTGAGTTACTCCTTAATAGATACATATTTTCAGTTTAGGGAGATGAATAGTGATGGTTGCCTAATGAGAATATACTCAAATGCTACAGAACTGTACACATAGAAATAAATGGCTGAAGTGATGTTTATTTTATCACTAAAAATATTTAATTGTTCTAAAGTAAATATACTTACATTTTTATGTTTTTTTTCTTTTCTGGGATTTAGCCTGAATTGAAAAGTACTTTGTTTTAAATAATGAAAACTAAGTACTTAAGTGAATCATTAAAAGTCATAGCTAATAAAATGGAGAAAACTAATTCAGTTTCTTGCTTCAGGCTCTGAACATTTTTCTCTACTACTACACAAACTGAGAGATCACCTAAGAAATTCCAAACTTCTCTCAGAATACTTATTTCAAAACAAATAAAATTATATATTTTATATGATTTTATAATGTTTTTATATAATTTTATAATTATATAAGGTCCTATCTATTGGACAAAGGCTCAAGTGAAAATTTTTCAAAAAAAAAAAAAAAAAGATAGCAAACTATACGTATCACACACTGAGCATGAACAGTTGATACAGTGGGCAGTATCAGTAGGAAAGCAAGTCCAGTTGTCAGTTGTGGAGAGAAAAGAATGAAGTCAAGAGTATGAGCATGCAATTAACTTCCAAGAATCTATCCTATCACAGATACCAACATGTCCCATCTTCTAGAAACCCCGTTCACAAATTCTAGGATGCATGATATTTTTAAAAATGAGTTCTAAAAAAAAAAAAAAAACAAATAATAAAAAAAAATAAAAATGAGTTCTAGTTTATTAGAAGTTTATGTTTATAAATCTGAGTAGCATCTATAGAACCCATTTTACAATAAGGGATATGCTACAGTAACTCCACCTTCTAACATAGAGTCACATAGGAGGTAGACAATAAATATGTTTAATTAGCAAGAAAGGAAGGAGAGAGGTAAAGGAGGAAATTGAGGGGGAAAAAGAAAGGGAAAGTGGGCAAATGGTTCTATGCACTTTAACAATCCATCAGCTGGCACTCAAGAGTCTGGCTGTGCTGTACAGAAGAGAGGCTGGAAGCTGTTGATGGACAGTCAGGGCATGTGCCCAGACTAAGCTGTGCAATTTTGTACATTTTATTGCTGGCTTCTTTCTTTATTGAATTCAAATATATTAGTGATCTATACAAAGTACTTGAACAACATCTGGGATTCATTACAACCATACATGATGTACAACTACACCATTAAAACTTTAAATACAGGGATCCCTGGGTGGCGCAGCGGTTTGGTGCCTGCCTTTGGCCCTGGGCGCGATCCTGGAGACCCGGGATCGAATCCCACGTCGGGCTCTCTGCATGGAGCCTGCTTCTCCCTCTGTCTGTGTCTCTGCTTCTCTGTCTCTCTCTCTGTGACTATCATGAATAAATAAATAAAATTAAAAAAAAAAAAAACTTTAAATACAGATAGTCTTAATCCAGAGCAGTTTTATATATCCCAAAGTAGGTTTCTTCTCTGTGCAATAACTAAAACTCTGCATTTTCATCAACATTTTATGATAGATTATTTTGAAGCCAAATAGTAAACAATTCTATCACAAAAGCAAAACATTTGAAATAATCATTTCAAATATTTCAATTTTATAACCTTTATAAAATATGAGCTTGTTTTGGCCAGAGAATTGTGTCACTTTTTGCTGACCACCAGGCAAAAAACCTCTGTCAAGTGACTTTCAGGTTGATACACTCTGTGCCATTATAAGCAATTACAGGCTGAACAGAATGCTAGCTGTGTGTACTTCTGGCATTCCCCTCAATCCACGTCATTAGTCATTTCATGAATCATTTCAGCTTTCCTTTGTCAACTACCCTCTCAGATTTTTCAGCTATCATTCTTAAGATCAATTCACAAAGCAATTCTTCACCTTTCCGTGTTCTCTTCAGGCAAACATTTACATATTTTGATTCCCTAAAGATGTCATTTTTTTGGCAAAACTAACTGGTACAGGGTATGGGGGCAATGAACAGAAAAATGGTTGCCTGTAGGGTGTGAGGGCAGAGTTTGACTAGTAATGGACATGAGGGAACATTCTGGATTGATGGTAATATTCTGTATCTTGATAAAGGTTTGGGTTACACAGGTCTACACATATGTCGAAACTCAGCAAATGTTTCCTTAAGATTTATACATCCTTGTTGTATTTAAATTTTACCTCAAGAGGAAAAAGAAAAGAAAAAAACTATGACTGAACTCTAGTTAATGATATGCATGCTGAAGTATTTAGGGATAAGTGCCTGAAATTTACTTTGAAATGCAAAATAAATAAGACGGATTGACACATGAGTAGAGGGATGAATAGTGGATAGATATATAATCAGAAAATGTCTGCTAAAATATGAGAGGTAGGTATTCTGGTGTTCACTGTAGAATTCTTCATTTGAAAATTTCCATAATAAAATGTCTTAACGTTTGTAATTTCTTCATAATCCTTTTCAATTTAATATTCACCCAGTAAAGAAAAAGGCATCAGTAAATGTTCCCAAAGATTTTGACCATGACCTTAGTTACCCCCTTGCTTGATAATTTTCGATATTTATAAAAGTTGATCCAAATAGCACTGGATAAAAATATTGTTAAATTGGGGTGCCCAGGTGGCTCAGTTGGTTGGACATCCACCTTGGGCTCAGGTCATAATCTCAGGGTTCTGGGATTGAACCCGCATCAGCATTGGGCTCCCTGCTTAGCGGGGAGTCTGCTTCTCCCTCTCCCTCTACCCCTCTCCCGCTGGTGCTCACTCTGTCGCTCAAATAAAATAAAGTCTTTAATTAGTTAAATTAATTAAATATATAATTTACTCATCCATTCCTTCATTCATTCTACAAATATCTGTCAATCACCTTCTATGTACCAGATCTCTGTAATGCTAAAGGAAGAAAGCCAACTTAATTGTAATACAATGTGATACGTATCAAGTGATAGAGGAATATGACTGGCAGGGCATTTTCTGGATTGTAAAGAATGAGTATGATTTTTCCAGATGGAATACAGGGAGGGGGGGAAATTAATTCTAGACTGGGGAAAATTGAATAAGTAAGCATATAATACAGAAACTTTATTTCACATCTAAAATTAAGTTTATGGTAGCTGCATCTTAAACTTATCGAAATATCTAAAATCAATTTACATATATTAGATGCCTCCTCCTACTATCTTACTACTTTTGGAAGATTCTGCAGTCTTTTTCAGTCACCAATATAAATCTAGGTGTATCTTTTTTACCACTGACTTCAAGCTGCATATATTTCACTTAAATATTTAAAGGTATGTTCATATTTGATTTTATTACTAATTAGGGTTGGGTTGTTGTTTGTTTTTTTATAAAAAGCTTTTTAGCTAGAACTCACTTTGGGAAGTTCTGCTCTAATGTCTTGAAATTCCAGGAGTGAATGAATACTAAGAGATTAAAAAGTTTCCCAGATCAAGCAGCAAATAAAAATGCAAATTTCTAATACAGCAACTCAGCTCAATATAAAATGCACAAAGGACAAATGTCAAAGTACTGTCTAAATTGTAAATCTATTTAGATATCTTTAATATTTTATATCCTTTTAAGATATGTAGATGGTCCTTCAATGACTACTTTGTCTCTCTAAACATTTCCTTTAATGACTACTTTGTCTCTCTGAACAACAAAATTCTAATATCTGTGGGTTTACTTCAATGGGTTTTATCCACAAAATGTGTGTAGTGCTATAGAACTCACATGCTTAAAGTGAAAATTAAGTGAGATTTTTTTTAAATGAAAAGGAGTTAGTGCTACTGTTCAATAAACAGTAGTAACTCATATTAAAACATTGTTATCCACATTCATACTCATGCAATTGCACAGATGTGCTTTTTGATCTGGGCCACAAGCTAAAGTGAGCCAGAATTCATCTTATCTTTTCAGTTTAGTTACAAAAGTCCTAACTCTTAGTCTCATTGCATTACTGACCACTTCAATGTCATGATAGCTTTTCATTTGCTCCCTTTCAGATCCAAACTCCTTACTTCACTGCTCACCCAAGACTGGCACTCTTTACAGAGTTCACTGGCAAAGACCTTAGAATTCTTTTATCATTTATCCGTTAGTGGCTGAGAATAGAAATATCACTGGACCTTGACCTCAAATAATCCTCTAAAAAAATTCCCAGTGACTGAGTTGGGCTAGAGGTTCAGACTCAAGATGCTTTGTAATTTGTTTCAAACCATTTTCTATAGGTACCTTCAAATGATCCCTAGGCTGAATGAGATGTTTTGTTCTGAGGGGCTTTGAAAAAGTCAGTTAGGAAAGGTAATATTAGGGGAGCTCTTTAAGGCTGAAAACTGCATTTTATAAAGAATATTCAGAGACCCTATGGAAAAGATATTTCTAGGATGAAAAAAAAATTAAATAGCCTGATTTCATTTGTTAGTACCTATAATGGCTATTATTATTTAATAATAAAGTACATTACCACTTTGAGCTAGAAAAAAGTGAGGATTTGAGGTTATACTTTGAGATCCAATTAAGCAGCCTAACTCAATCTTCAACAGAGGGGGACATCTGTATGCAGAGTGTCAGAACAGTCTGTAAATTTGGGAACAACCCTGCAAAATGATCTTTACTATCGATCAATTTATTAATCTCCATGTTATGTTTCCACTAAGTGAAAACTAAAATAGTCTAGAGATTTACTGGTAAATTATAAATCTAGCCCAACATGTCATAAAGATTTAAAAACAGTTAAATCTTTAATAATGCCATAAGAGCAAATAGAGGCTAACATTCAATCTTATTAGGCAAGTCCATAACATGGACATTTTCTTCTCTTAAAACAGGTTGAATTTAAGATATAGGTATGAATCTTGTTTTGATGGAATGCTAATTATACTCATTAAAAACCTGAAAGCTATTAGTCCTGATTTTCACTTTGTCATCTTTATGATATGCTCCTGATATGAGTGGGCTGTGAGCAGCTGTGCTCATGCTGCCCTCCTCAGCTGACTCCTGCCAGCAGGTTGTATGCATTTGAAGCTTCATGTCGCTCTTATTTGCAATATTCAAACAGAGTGATTTTCTTTACTGTCCCCTAGTCCTGTATTTCAATCTTTTTTTTTATAAATTAATTTTTATTGGTGTTCAATTTACCAACATACAGAATAACACCCAGTGCTCATCCGTCAAGTGTACACCTCAATGCCCGTCACCCATTCACCCCCACCCCCCGCCCTCCTCCCCCTCCACCACCCCTAGTTCATTTCCCAGAGTTAGAAGTCTTTATGTTCTGTCTCCCTTTCTGATATTTCTCACACATTTCTTCTCCCTTCCCTTATATTCCCTTTCACTATTATTCATATTCCCCAAATGAATGAGAACATACACTGTTTGTCCTTCTCCGGTTGCTGTGGCCAAGTTCAAAAAGGGTGTTGCCTGAGTTCTCCTCTGGGATTTTGATGGAATCTTGTCTCACATTTAGATCTTTCATCTATTTTGAGTTTATCTTTGTGTATGGTGCAAGAGAGTGGTCCAGTTTCATTCTTCTGCATGTGGATGTCCAATTTTCCCAGCACCATTTATTGAAGAGAGTGTCTTTCTTCCAGTGGATCGTCTTTCCTCCTTTATCGTATATTAGTTGACCATAAAGTTCAGGGTCCACTTCTGGGTTCTCTGTTCTGTTCCATTGATCTATATGTCTGTTTTTGTGCCAGTACCACACTGTCTTGATGGACACAGCTTTGTAGTACAACCTGAAATCTGGCATTGTGATGCCCCCAGCTATGGTTTTCTTTTTTAAAATTCCCCTGGCTGTTTGGGGTCTTTTCTGATTCCACACAAATCTTAAAATAATTTGTTCTAAGTCTCTGAAGAAAGTCCATGGTATTTTGATAAGAAAAACCTACGTTTAATTGGGGTTCCCGAGGGCGCCGAAAGGGCCAGAGGGCCAGAATATGTATTTGAACAAATCCTAGCTGAAAACTTTCCCAATCTGGGAAGGGAAACAGGCATTCAGATCCAGGAAATAGAGAGATCCCCCCCTAAAATCAATAAAAACCGTTCAACACCTCGACATTTAATAGTGAAGCTTGCAAATTCCAAAGATAAAGAGAAGATCCTTAAAGCAGCAAGAGACAAGAAGTCCCTGACTTTCATGGGGAGGAATATTAGGGTAACAGCAGACCTCTCCACAGAGACCTGGCAGGCCAGAAAGGGCTGGCAGGATATATTCAGGGTCCTAAATGAGAAGAACATGCAACCAAGAATACTTTATCCAGCAAGGCTCTCATTCAGAATGGAAGGAGAGATAAAGAGCTTCCAAGATAGGCAGGAACTGAAAGAATATGTGACCTCCAAACCAGCTCTGCAAGAAATTTTAAGGGGGACTCTTAAAACTCC